GTACGGAGATACCTCAAAGAACTAGAATTAGAAGTCCCATTTGACCTAGCTATTCCCTTGCTGAGTATCTTCCCCAAAGAATTGAAAGAATCATATCACAGTGATACATGTGCACCCATGTTCATAGTGGTAGTTTGTAATAGCTAAAACTTGGAAACAGCACAATTGCTCATCAACTGGAGACTGGATAAAGAAAATGTGGGGTTTTTAAAAAATAAAATGGAGTACTACTCAGCCATAAAGAACAAGAAAACTAGAGACATTTATAGCTAAATGGATGCACATTGAGGCGATACTCTCAAGTGCCATAAATAGGACAGACATGTGTAAAAACCGAATAGTTTCTCGGGTGTGAAAAACTGAAAGTTTAAATAAGGACTCAAAGGTATAATAATGTGAAATGGGAAGAAAAGGGGCAAAGGGGAAGGGAAATAGGAGGGATTGTGGAAAGGAAAGAAGAGAATGGAATTTATATGAGAAAATGAAAAAAATGGAAACAAAGTCTATATAAGTAGGGAGGGATGGAGGGGTTGAAGGGAGGGCAGGGGAATGGGGAAAAAATAAGAACCAAGAGAGATTACGTAAAGGTGCAGATTCGCAATGATGAGTGTCATTATATTGTATACCTAAAATATACCAATAAAATTAATTTTTAAAAAAAGAAAAGAAAAATTAGCACAATTCTACTCACCCTTCCAATGCCAGAAATGGATAAATATGATTTTCTTTTAAAAATTTAGGTCAGCTTTTCTATCTAATTCATATTTGAAAACCTACTTCCCACTTCTTTATACCTCTTCCACCTCCCTCAAAGTAGCTACAATAAATACCTTTGATCCTCCAGTCCCTTTTGTTTCACACCAACAAATGAAAGAAGCCTGACTGAATTCAGTGTTAATTTCTTACCCTGCCAGGAAAGCTATGGAGTAGGAGTTGTTCTTGGAAACAAACGCTGAGCGATGTGGCTGCATCATCTGGCCTCGAGAAGGTTCTTCATTCTCTGAGTCTGAGAGACGTGCAAGACACTGGGAGGGAAATAAAGGAGACAAGATTGTCTATTTGGGGTTCCTATGGAATTTACCCTAGCTATTATAGGTTCAAATCTCTAAGTCACTTTTCTTGAGTTCCAATCTAAGTTTCCAAATGCCTCCTACAGATCCCAATATTAAATGTAACTCAGATTCAAAATATCCAAAGTCAAACTCACTACTTCTCTTCTCTAAGCTCCACTACCAACCCTCTAGAAACCTCAATCTCATCTATGAATGTTATTTCCCTTGCTTCTAGGTCATAAAAACATTTGTATACAGATTTTGGGTATTCTAATACTTCTAAATATTTACTTCATTTACTCTTTTTATCAGTCCCATTAAAACAGAGATTATCACTATGTCTTTCACTTTTGTCAAACAAACTCTGAGTACTTTATTTGGCTAGGACTATAGAGTTAATAAGTGGCTAAAACTGGTCCTTAAATTCAGAGCATCAATCTTCAAACTATTTCCATGCTATTTCCACTCCACTCCGCTCCTAAAATGTCTCTCAGATTTAACTCTTCTCATTTTTATTCCTTAGCAGTGCCTTACCTGAGATCCTTATTACTTTCTCTTTCAACTACTGCAATAATATATTTACTGGTCTCGTTTTCTCCCGAATTTTTTCCCCTCAAATACTTTATCCTCTTTCTGCCAAGAATGACTTTCCCAACACAGAGAGAGAATCCTCTTGCTCTCATGCTTAACTGTTGGTGACTCCAAGATCAAACCTGAACACCTTAGCCTGATATAATAACCTTCACAAACTAGACCCAACCTTCTTTTGTGGCTTTTCTCCCACCAGTTCCTACACACAGAACTTGAGCTCCAGTACAAGCAAACTACTTTTTATTCTCTACATGCACTATAGTCTTTCAAAACCTCTATTCTTTTGAACATGCTATTCCCTTTGCCTAAAATTCCCTATCCGCATTCTCTGCCTATAACCTACACATTAGCTTTTCAGTCATCTTAAAGGTCGTTTTCTCTGTAAAGGCTTCCAAATTCTCCTACAGCTATTTTTTTCTATCTTCTTTACAATTTCTATCTACTTTGGCCTCTATCTATAATCAACTCAGTACCAAGCAAAAGACTATTCAAATCTCAGCTGTCTTATTTAACTATCGGTGTCACTGGAGTTTAGCCACTTTATCTTCCTGAGCCTCAGGTTCCTCGTCCATAAAGTAAGGATCACTCTACTATAAAGTTCCTCATAAGCCAGTAAAAGCACCTAGGTACTTTAGCTAACAATACTCAACAAAAAAGATAGATTTTACTTTTGTTAATTTAAATACTATTACTCTATTAAGAAAACAAACTTTTACCAAGTTCCTTTTAATTGTTGAAACATTACCTTCCATCTTTCATCTTGGATAAAAATAAACCTATAGCACTATGGATTCTTAAAATGGACAAAGCATGCGTAAATGGGATCCCTGCAGTGGCATCTGAAAGAACTACTGTACCTAAAAAAAATTTAAGGACTAACACCCAGAGTAGGCAATCAGCGAGGAAATTAGTTTAATGTTCTCGTGTACTACTGGAAAGCATATAATTACGTGCAAACCTTCTGGGGGGACAATCGAGTAATAAAAACATTTAAAAGAATACTTCCAGCCAGGTAGATGGCACATACCTGTAATCCCAGCACTGTGGAAGGCTGAGTGAGGATCAAAAGTTTGAGCCCAGCCTAGGCAACTTAGTGAGATCAAAATAAATGAGATCAAAATCAAATATTAAAAATAAAGGAAAGGGCTCTGGGGGTATAGCTCAGTGCAAAGGCCCTAGGTTCAATCTCTAGCATGGGGGACTAGGGGGTGGGAGACATCCCTTTGACATGGTCATTCGACTTAGTAATTTATTCCTAAGGAATTAAGGAGGCAGTTATAGTTTATCACAGGTGTTTAAGATAGTAAAAATATCA